GAAGCTTGTGGTTAGCTAAATATCTTCTTTAATGCCAGACTATTGAAAAAACTCTTTTTCTCATCATTGACTTAATTTTTGTGTTTTGAACTAATAACTTAGAGGGTTTTTAAATTTTTATTTTAATGTCATGCAAGTGATAAATGTAAAGGAGGTTGGAGATTTTAGATTTAAATATGTGTTTGTATTTGGTTAGATTTGATATTATATAACTGTCATAACTGTTTCTACCCATGTATGATAGACTAATGTATAATAAACAAACATTTGGGTACATTATAACACTTTAAGGAGTGTTAACTTCCGTCAAAAACTTTTTATTTATATTATTGATCAAAGATATATGAAAACCATTTTTAATTAAGACATTTTTAATTTTTTCCAGTTTTTTTTAATAATGGTATTTGCTTACAATGGGATAATAAGCTGTGTAAACTAAGATGTTAATTAACTTTATGTTGTAACTGATAGGTGTAAAGCTATTTATATGACTATTCAATCATGTATACTTAGGTTAATGATAAATACCTCCTTCTAAGTATCTGTCAAAGCTACTAATTTTCAGAACAAGAAATGATAACTTAGAATTATTTTCCTCCAAAATACTAAACTTTCAGATAATCTAAAAACAATTGAACATGTTCCTTTCTCTTAAATATTATAAAAGTGTCATCAACATACCTGTGATACTTAATAGGGTTAAATTTATCTTTTACCTGTTGATTTTCATGATGAATCAAGAAAAAGATTAGCAAGGTTAGGTGCTAATTTGGAAACTATAGCAACTCCATCTGTTTGATCTTAAATAGAATTGTTAAAAGTGAAATATGATTTCTTGGTGGCAAATTCTAACAGTTCTTTTTAAACATTGATTTAAACATTAATTCCTCAAGTTCAAATATAAAGTCTAAAGTTAATTGAATAACCTTTCTTAGAGGAATATTAGTATATAAAGATACAATATCAAAACTAAAACAAAAAATTGTTCATTAAATTTTAGATTCCCAGCTCTTCAAATATTTCAAAGCTGTTTATTACTGCATACTCATTTTTCAAGAAAACTATTTAGAAATCCAGCTAGCTAGTTATGGTTATAAGTATTAATTTTATATACTATTGGTCTGATTGGACATCCATTTTTTATGAATCTTAGTTAGACCATACAAAGTACCACAGTGATATCCATATGGTCTAATATCATTATATACATTGTTGTTAAGTGCATTATTTTTATTCAGTTGTTTAAGGTTGATCTTCCCTTTTTTTGGTGGGATAAGAGTTTAAATTTAGTTTTCATCAGATAAAATGGTTGACACCTTATTCAGATAATCTTCCCTATTTAGAAGGACTGTACCATTACTTTTATCTGGATTTAATATAATCCAATTACTCTTTTCTCTTAAAGGTTTAAGTGCCTCAACTTCTTGTTTAGGAATTTTTGTTTCTCTTTTGTATGGTTAAAAATCAGGTACTGCTAACTCAGAAATTTCAGTAACTCTACTATCAAAATATTTTTTTAGTTTTTTTTCAGTAATAGGATTGTCTTTCAATCTGCTCAATAATTTTACAAAATTTAAAAAGAAATAATTTTTTCAGGTGCTCTGACAGATTTTAAACCTTTTGAGAGTATTTGCTTTTCTGTTCTAGTAAGTTCATATTTAGAATAGTTGTAAGTTACACTGTCCTGATCTTCACAAAATTTCTTCACAATATCTTCAGTTTTTGAAATTAACTAATTTAATGTTTTTTAGGGTATAATTATTGGCAGTTTTTATATACAATGCACTAAATCCAAAGTCCAGCTATGAAATTATTTGTTAAATATTTTTGTTAAGGAGCAAAAGGTTTTTTTTTCAAAATTCTTATTTTCCTTACTTTACTGTAGTAACTACTATGTTTTAATTTCTGGTTATAAATTTTGAATGGGAGAAATTTTGCTATTAATTCCAATTTGTGACATTCATTCAAAAACTCAAGATGTATTCTGTTGTTTATTTCTGAATTTTTAAATAAGTTTTTCAAACTTATGAAGTAATTGAAGACAATAATTGTTATGTCTCTTCTTTAATAAAATAGCAATGTAATTCTAATTATGAAGAGTAGAATCAAGGAAAGACAATATAACATTATCAATTACACAGGATACATTTACCACTTCTAATAAAAATTACCTAAATAAATACAAGTATAAGTTTATGAAAAGAAAAAAGTAGGCCATAAACAGAGCTGCTACTGATATGTCTCCAGATGGCTAATTGCAGGACTTTACTAAGCAAAAAATTAAAACTAATTTATCATGATTAGCAAAATTATCTAAGGAAGTAAACTAGCTCCAAAGGTAATAAAAATTACCCAAGTACAAAAACATGTAGATTTTTATAATTGGTACAAAATAATGAAAAAGTAAAAATCCACAATAATTAAATTCTGTGATTAGAATTATAGAAAATATTTGCTGAGAATTAGATACTCTTTCTTAAAGGGGAGATTTCCTAAGGGATACATTTATTTATCATTATATAATACATCTGAGCAATATCTGATTTATTTTTCATCCTAGGTCTCTTATTTGAGGATTGCACATCTTTTTAATAATAAATGTTTTTTTCATAATGACTGAATTGTTTTCATGAGAATAATTTGTTACAATTTTATAAATATATATATATTATGAGATTCCATGTCTCAGAGTGATGTTTACTTCTTATGACCTATACAGTTGTGGTTTTATCTATCAGTATCGGACACAGTAGAAAAAAAACCTGTGTCTCCTCTTTTCTGGCAAGACCTTGAATACATTCCATCCATAAATACTGTAAATACTCGCACTGAGTTGTAAGAGAATTTTACTACCTTATGCTACAATACATTCACACACACAGTATCATTCAGTCCTATGCTTTATGTACAAGGTATTGTTTAAAAACATGTATACACAAATTACAGGTGATCATAAGTTCAACCTTTGTTCATTAGGTAATATAGTTAATTAGTTTGGCAATGGTATTCACTCACTTGCATGTACAATAACTAATCAACACAACAGTACACCACTCTCTACACCAAGGCCATTCAACTGTTAGAATTGCTCTGCACATTATAATTGGGAATATTGATATTTTCCTGGTATGTGAAGCCTAAAACTCTACTGAGCAGGTACTAATGATATATTTGTATATGAACTTTTTTTTTCTACCATGTTTTCAGGGATATTTGAAGTATGTGTCTTATTTCATTCTACGAGAGAAAAAATTTTGCCTTCTCATTCATTGTGTTATCATTTATCTTTAGAATATGGATAAATCAAATTCTGACAGACCCTTATGTGTGGTTCATGTTATAAATTGTTTTTTGGCTTAAAGTAAATGATATAAGAGCGAACTTTTATTATATTTATGATACCAATAGAGTGAAATCTGAACATACTGCCATACCTAGTTCATGTGATAAATTATTTGTTTGAGTAAAATATCATTTGATAAGAAATTATTATTCAAGTTATTATTTTTGGATCCTAAAACACAATATAATGAAGTTTTTATCCAGCACTCTTCCTTGACAATTGCTATCCAAATGTCTGTAAATTCTTGAATTGTTATTGCCTGAAGTTGATTGTAAGTGCTCTTTAATACATTGTTCCAAGTGAGAAGTTGTTAAACCAATCTAATCTCAACCACAGTGGGAAGAAACAAAATGATAAACAACATAAGGAATTGAAACTTACCAATCACATTTATGAATTCAAAGAAATTCTCTAGTTGTAATTTACATTTTAAGAGAACACATAGAAAATTTGTGGATAATTTTTATTTGTAATGTTTGTGACATTATTTTACAATTCATAACTGTTTCTACCCATGTATGATAGACAATGTATAATAAACAAACATTTGGGTACATTATAACACTTTAAGGAGTGTTAACTTCCGTCAAAAAATTTTTCCTGTTGTTTTTTTTCTACTTTTTTGAATTGTTTCAACTTCATTTGTTTCTTTGGGAAAGGCTTTCAGTAAATATTATAAGACTTTTGAAAACAAAAAAATCAGATATTTTAATTAAGTATTTTTAATGAAAAATCTGTGTGTAAATATCTGGAGCCCAAGTGTTGACTGCTCAGAGTGCTAATAGATTTCATGTTAAGATTAAAAATATTTTTCATCATATGAAAATTTCCAAATTTCATTTGCATAATCTCTCATCTTTTCTAAATAAATATCAAAATCTTTTCAGTAAAACTTCATATTTTATCTGTTATTTTCTCTACCCCAATCCTATACATATTTGGTTGATTTGACCAACCTTGTAACCACCATAAAAACATAGAAAATAAATTTAAATTATCCTTTATAGAACGACTGCAATTTGTAACTAGAAACCACAAATCGCTTAAAACTTGTAACAGCTGTTTATACTTAATTTTATTCTTGTATTGTTCTTTAACCCACGTTTAACTAATATTCCCACCGTACAAGTTGTAAATCGCTCATCAAATTCGTGGCTTACATTAATGTATCAAAATTACACACCATATGAGCTTCTTGTGAGCATACCTTGTGAAGAATTATTATTATTAGTTTCCAATATTTCACCTAATTTACCTTTTACTTTTATAGTAACAAATAAAGAATAGACATGAAAACAAGAAATATAGTACTTATCTGTGTCATTCGGTTTTTTGCTATTGACTGTCGATGAAATTTAAGCCTACTTTTATTATACTAATGGTACACTAAATAATTTTTACTTACTTAAATAATGCACCTTGGAACACAGAATAGCAACAAGCACAAAGCAAACAATGTCCTATAACTATTATTATTTTTCTGGCTTTCTAACTTTAGCATAAGAGCCTTTTAATCTTACCTTAAGGCTGTTGATCTGAATACTACAAAAGATAATTTCAAACTGAAGTCGAAATAGACAATTCTCTGTACTGAAAACAACATAATATAATATCTCATTTGATAGATTAAAACCTTGGTTTTCTATTGGTTATAAGTAATATAGTATAAAACGTCAGAGAACTACTGGCAATTTGTAAATGAGAGGATCTGACAGGTGGGTGTGGAAAGTGGTCTGATTCTCTAATTTATGATTCTGTAAACAAATAAAATTGATGTCTATAAATGCTTTGCCTTAGTAATATACACATTATAATGAGTATTTTACATTAAATTATGTACTTGTCAAAGTGGTGGTAAATAAATTACAGAAGGGGGGGAAGTACCTAAAAGAACAAATGTCACAATTCTCATAATTGGAAGATTGGGGATATTTTTAAGTATTTCCTTATAAAAATTAAGAACTTATAAGTTATATAATATTAAAATCTGATTTATTAACTACATTTTAATGCTAAGTTTTTCACATAAAATGACAATAATAAAGTAGTCTAATTAAATTTTGAGTGTAATTCACTAAAATGTCGTGCCATGCACACTTTGACCTACCCATAGCAAGACGTTTAAGGAAAATATTTTAAAATTTGTACAGCTTAGTTAAAAAGCCCATTAAATTATCATACTTATAGAACATTGTAGTCTTTGTGCATATTATAAAACTATATAAAATACAAAAATTAGAAAATTATTATGTGAAAAAACATAAATGAAAAAAGAATTAAATAAAATTTATCTGTGAGGTACACACACTAGTTGCATGTGGATTATATAAATTTGTCACATCTTCAGATACTTGCTCACTGGATGCTTACAGCTTTGTTATGCATTTGTAGTAGTTAGAAGTGGATGAAAGAGCAATAAAACAATAAAATAAATCATATCTTCAGATACTTGCTCACTGGATGCTTACAGCTTTGTTATGCATTTGTAGTAGTTAGAAGTGGATGAAAGAGCAATAAAACAATAAAATAAATCACATCTTCAGATACTTGCTCACTGGATGCTTACAGCTTTGTTATGCATTTGTAGTAGTTAGAAGTGGATGAAAGAGCAATAAAACAATAAA